GTTGCTATAGCTACAATGCTGGCAAAAATTATTGTGGACAGCACGCGCGGAATTAGAAATACCTGCCTTGCCCAATACATACAGTACGTGCAAAAACAGTTTTTAACAATTTTTAACTTAATTCCCCTCCCCTCCCGTTCAATCTTGAAAGCCTATAAATTGGTCTGGTGAAAGCTTTCTGAAATGTGCATGCCAAAAGCAACATTGTGGGGGGGGGGGGGAGGGCAAAGACACCAACATGTGTATGTGAACAGTAATACTTTAAAAAGTTTTTTGTATGACGCGAGCCAACAGATCACGACACTTTTGTATATATAAAAAGGGCGCGTGAATTGAACAAGTCGTATATTATTAGAACTGATGAAGATCCGGGCTTACGGATCGAAAGCTTTGCAGTAATAAATTTAGGTGGTGTTCCCACAAACAAAACTATTGTAGTAGTACTTTAGTTTAAACCTAAGTGTCCACGGAATTTTTGCCATGATTGTAGCTTCACCACTGACTTCCACTGTTAAGAAGATCGGGAGGCTGAGCACTGGCAATCAAGAAATCCTTGTCAACTCTGGGTTCTTGGCGGTGGACTAAAAATATGCACGCTCTGGGAGTGAGATTTATATCCTTCTATGAGTTTACGGCAATATCATATTCTATTTACTCGTCTAGTCGACTAATGAGAAATTTGAAAAATGGCTAATATATCTATATAACCATTGTTGCTTGAAAAGTAATCATCTACTTGGCTACTGAAAAAATGTAATTCCTTACAACTAGCTACTGTTTTAAAAAAGTAGTCAAAAACTACTCGCTACTTGAAAATTGTAAGTACAACTAATTCGCTACTACCTAACAATATCATAAGCGTGCGGTACCCGATACCTTCCGTGAGGGGGGGGGGGGCACTTGAACGTTTGCCTGAATTTTCAGATATTGAAATGTAATGACCAAAATTTAAGGTATTTTGTGATATATTTGCCCAAATTTTCTTCATTTTTCCTAGCATTCGCCCGAGTTTCCATGGTTTTCATGGCAACTGCCCCCCCCCCCCTCCCCCTTGTCTCGTACGCCTATGCCCTCCATTAATCAGCACTGTGTATTGGTACATTCGTTTTTGTGTTTGTTTCATGGCAAGTTAGTATTCCCATGCGTCCAACGCCTGCTCGATCTTGTAATTTTTTCCATTTCCTGTATGTAACTTTAAGTGGATGACATTTTGAGGAGTAAAAAATGGCTTGGAAAACGAATGCAAGAGCATTCACGACCAAGATTGCTACATACCATCCCAGTAATTCATCTTTCTTCTCACCTGTGATCGCTTTGTTGCCACCCAAACCGTGAAATATCAAGAAAAGGAACGCCATGCCTATTAATGCAAAACCATTGCTACACCTTATGTCTCGTGGTGTAGAATTTCGCATAATAACGTAATATGAGTTGGAAACGTGAAAGAACAGTGGATAAATGGTTAAAAGGGAAATAATTGACATGCACAAGCATACTGAAACGTCAAAAAGCCAACGCACACCATAATAAGCCAACGTCAAGCTGCTGGAGGCTATTGACAGCCCAACGAATGCCGAGAGTCTACCCAATAGGCGAAGCGTTTGCCAAACGACGAAAACAACTGCCGACCTTTTTGGAAAGTTTACTGGCCTTATATAGTTTTTGTTGCGTATGACAATTTCCAGGATCCAATAATTTTTTTCGAACGAGTAAATGCTAACAAGTAAGGACAAAAATGACAATGCAACTGATAATACCGCATACCAAGGATATGACTGTTTATAAAACATCGCAAAAACCTGGAGTGTCGATTGTGGCATGTCTTCAGTGAATGCTTCCACGGAACGAACGTATGACATATCTAGGGATGCTCTAACACTTTCCTCGAGTTGCTTCTTACACGTATCGCAGTCACATTCAGAGAAATGTTTTCGACTGCCGCAGGGATAAGCTTTATCGCCGTCACTTTCCTTTTTACGACGGCAGATTTCACCAATAAAGAGATGGATCATTGAAAAGTGGGTGAGACAGTCTAAAACTCGTACTTTGCACGAGGCGTTTAATCTGGCCGTTGCATGAATATTCACAAGAACGGCAGATAAAATTAAAGTGAAAACTGTCATTACAAACCACAGTTCGTCACCATTCTTGCGATATTGAACCGCGACGTAAACATCCGTTACTAGGTCAGCAAGATACAAAACTAAACTCGCAACCAAACTGTACAAATGAAATTTGTCCCACATTCTTGCTTTCTTGATGATTTCAAAGCTTTCTTCACACTGTTAATCTCTGACTCTATATTTAATTATATGCAAAGAATTAGAACTAATCAATGACAAGTTTTCGTTGTCTTCTGAAGTGTCAGAATTAATCCGGCAAAATATCATGGGTCTAACCCCCAGTGCTGTTTGGAAACACGATCATGGTTATATTTATGTACCTATTTAAATACTCTGTTGATTTGCATTATTGTGCTCAAACATGCATACCTGTAGCTGACAAACAATCAAACAGCAATTTGGATCTGACAAAATATCTTCCTGACTGCTAACAATTACTGAATTAGCCCATGTTTGAGCTGATCACTGAGATACATGGACTCTATTTATCCATTAAGAACCGCTTTTTCTTTTCGGGGATCTTAAGGATAAGATCACTGACATTGTTTCGCATTTGTTTATAGTAGGCAGCAGTCTAATATCAAAATATCGATCAGTTTCCTTTTTTACACTAATTCCTATACATTTTCTAACTTTACTAATTTTGCTATATTATAATTACTACTACTGTATTACTACCACCATTTTTTTCTGCTAATTTATAATATTAATGCAAATTATATTGTGCAGCTAACTGACTATAGTTTAGCCCATAATGGTTATTTCAGTTAGCTTGTACCTTCAAAATAGTGTAATTTAATTATGTCTTATTGATAATTGTAACATGTGGTACTTAATAAATTGTCATTAGATAGATTTAGATCGAGGACGCGAACGTCAAAGACGACGTGAAAATGGCGTGTTGTGCCCATGTATGATATGCCACGTCATCTTGACACCATTTTCACGTCGTCTTTGACGTCCGCGTCCTCGATCTAAATCTGTCTAATATCAAAGATACAACGATTTAAATCTAAGTATACAAAAGCTTAAGTCGTATAGCCGTTTAGGAATAATGTTCCATGGGTTTATTGAGAAATGAACCTTAATATGTCGCCGTATTACACGTCATTAATAGCAGCAGTATACTGCTATATTTAAGAGGGCATCGCTGCCTTGCCCTTGGCATGGGTTGTTAAATATACTTTTTGTCCCCCTAAATAGGCAAATTACTGCCCTTGTAGTAAGTATACTGCCTTGTACTTGTAGTATTGGATTAGTTGTATGGAAGACTTACCTATGGATATGTAATATTTTTGAGATATATCAGCTTGAACGTCGAAGCCACATATGTTGGAAGATGAACACGTATGAAGATTAATGTGTTCAAACAGAGTGTGGATGCATGCAGAGACCTTACTAAGATATGCAAGAGATATAGTCTTTATAATACTTGCTTGAAAGCAAATGATTGGACCAAGCAAATCAGAATCAAACTAAATTTGTATCGGAATACCCAGACATGAAAACAAAGAAATACGGCAATCTTTGTTTCTCGAATAATCGGTAGTTAAGCAGGGACAATGGTTTCATGCGAGAATGATTATTAGAATTAGAAAAGCTTAGAATCCTTTATTTATAGGCTAATATACTGGATAATTCTATGAGTTTTGTACTGGTATATCTGTAGAGTTCAGTGTTATTACAGGAGAAAATGTAACTAAACTATAACTTTATTTGTGCTGAATAGCTTGATCACTTCTAAATGTTCCTTTCAAGAAGTCCAATAAGGACCATGCATTCCCGATTCAATGGTTTTGAGCCACAACAAGTTTAGCTTTTGCCAGTGAGCTCCATATATATATATATATATATATATATATATATATATATATATATATATATATATATATATATATATATATATATATATATATATATATATATATATATATATATATATATATATATATATATATATATATATATATATATATAATTAATTCTTGTTGTCCGTATTTGAACGAAGAGTGCTCAATACCAATATACGATAGAGCTTAAATAATTCTTTAATCTTAAAATATATTTGTCGCTACACTGTGTTTCACGCTTCTTTCAAAGCGATCTTCAGGCGAATTTCGCCTGAAGATCGCTTTGAAAGAAGCGTGAAACACAGTGTAGCGACAAATATATTTTAAGATTAAAGAATTATATATATATATATATATATATATATATATATATATACATATATATATACATATATATATACATATATATATATATATATATATATATATATATATATATATATATATATATATATATATATATATATATATATATATATATATATATATATATATATATATATATATATATATATATATATGGAGTGAGAACTCGAGTCCAAAATGTGAAGCCATGCAAACATGGAGTTATTGGATGTCTGTTTCAGTCCCTTTTTATTGTTTTTGTGTGCGCGGTCTGCAACGAGTGTGCTGAAAAATTTCGTATTTTGACTTCGATTTAAATAGTATCATGGTTTTATGAACTGATAACTTCTGATTAGCGATAGGGTCTTTTAGAAACTGGAATTAGCTGGGGAAATGGTATTGAAACGACCTTCATAGATTTGGCCGTCATTTTCCGCCATCTTGACTTTTCTTATATATAGGCCGAATGACTGAAGTTCGTACGCGTGTTTTAAGTAGTACTTTACTGTATTTATTGACGTTTAACTCGTCCAGCATTTATTAATAAGACGTCTTTGTTCCATACACGCGGCAATTCAGTTATAATCAATAAAACCTTTTATTGCTATGGTTTTGTAACGACCCACTTAAGACCCACGTCTTCTAATATAAATAGGCCAATATCTCTACATTTGTGCTGAAGGGTGCAGAATGGATAACTTGCATGTTAGACTAAATTTTAATCTATATGTAAAGAGAAGGGAATCGAATACCACAGCTAAAAAGAGCGTAACGAAATTAGTAAAACTGCAAAATTTGGTTGCCAAATGTTGTAAAGCTTGGAAACTATAGCCTTGCAAAGTTTGCAAATTTTGTATACGTTTGTACTACGTGCGGAAATTGTTGCCATTTTCGGCTCAAAAATGGTAACAATTTCCGCACGTAATACAAACATATACAAAATATGCAAACTTCACAAGGCTGTATTTTCCGTATGTTACAACATTTCGTAACCAAATTTTACTCAGTAATTTTAATAAGTTCTTTTAGAGAATTTACTTTTTTTGCCCAGATCAAAAATTAGTCTAGCATGCGCATTGTCTATTATGCTGGCACTTGCACCAATTTGTCGCTGGAGTTAGAAAGACCAATTCTATGGCTTGGCAGTTCAATAATTCGATATTTTTAAATTTCGTTGATATATTTAAAAATTGTTGATATGTATATATTTATATAATAACGTTAAGAATTGAAGCGCTTTCATTGGTCGAGAGCCATGATCTATTAGAGGAGACACACGCGGAATTACATCACAATTATAAGGTAGCCAATAGCATTCCCTTCAAGTTTGTATAGATAATGTACGCGTGATATTGTTAAAATTCCGACTTTCTCAAATTTCCAAATGTTTGGGTGGATAAAAAGTAAGCTATTTACCTGTTTTATTGGTTTTTCTTTTTACTCGCCTCGGTGGCTCGTGTCCACTTTTTGACCCATGGATGTTGCGAAGAAACATTTGTGAGTCTTTGTGGTTACTTTAGTGTGGGGCAGTTAAACAATGAGAAATGACCAGCCTGCTTTGCGCGCACTGTTTGCCTGCGAATCCAACATGAGCTCCACCTTTGAATTTACTATATGAGTAAATTCTTAAACACGTCCGAATTTATCATTATGATAAATTCGCGGCACATTTTAAAAAAATAGTTTTTAAAAAAGTTTTAAAAAGTTTTAAAAGAGTTTTGAAAAGCAAGAAAAGTTTAAAAAGTTAGATTTTTAGAAAAGTTTAAAAAAGTTAAAAAGTTAAAAAATTTAGGGTTAGTGGTTAGGGGTTAGTGGTTAGTGGTTATGGTTAGGGTTGGGGTTAGGGTTAGTGTTAGGTGCCGCGAATTTATTATTATGATAAATTCAAAATTTGCCGCGAATTTATCATAATGATAAATTCGGACGTGCACTCTTAAAAATAGGTGTGTTGCAAAACACACAAAATTGTGTTATATAGCACGTTAAGTGTGTTATACAACACATTTTACTCTTGAGATTCGACATAACACACCTTTGTGAGTTAAATAACACACACATGTGGGTTATATAACACACAGTGTAGAGTGTTTAACACACAGCGATGGAGGTGAATGTGTTAGATAACACACTTTCAGAAAAACACACCTTTTCTACCGTGTTAGTTAGCACACCCTTCCTATGAAACGTGTGTTAATTAACCCAAGTTTGAAGATAAACACACTTAAATAGAAAAACACACTGCACAGAATAAACACACTTAACCAACAAACACACTTTCCAAAACACACATTTTTCCAAAACACACTTTTATAAAACACGCTTTATAGTAGCAAGCCTGATCGCAGGCTATAGGGCTCGCGCGATTACAGGTATCGGCAAATTAATTGCCAAATTGGTAAACATTTAGAGATTTATAAATTAATTCGAGTGTTTAAAGGGGGTGGTCAAGTCCGTCAGTGTAAACAAATACTTTGTTTACATTTTGAACTGCTATATTTGTAAAATAAGGCTAACACTTTTCTGGTTCGCAATGTTAAATGAATATAAACTAGAGTACATTTCAATTCAAAAAAGTTCCAAAGTCAAGATGCAAAAATTGGGCAATTTTTATATCTGTGGAGTGTGGGTCCCCTTTGTTACGAGCAGAACGGACTTGATATGGTCTTTAATACTGAAACAATCAAATATTTATATATATATATACTGGCTGATTAACCATTTCACAAAGGAAACATTTGAATTCACAAGTGTTCACTGGATAATAAGTTTTTAGACGTTCTCTGGTTTTTAAATATTTATTATTAAATAATTTATTATGAAATATTGAAGACTGCAGACTGGCAGTCGAAAGCTCGTAATAATAAATATTTAAAAACCAGAGAACGTCTAAAAACTTATTATGAATAATCCTGGTTTCGCTTCAAACATATTTAAACGTTCATTGGATAGTATAACAGAAATAGTTCCCATGTGTCAGTGTGTCATACAGATTGGAAACTGGAAGGTTAAAAGTATGCGAGCAGGACAAGCAAAATTCGACCTCAAAATATTGCATTTCAAATTTTATAACATAACACAGTAACACAGTAACACACCATGAAGCCGAAATATTTGAATATTCGCGCGCCGCATGATCGAGCTTTCGAGTTTTCAACCAATGAGGAGAGTGCCGCTGTGAAATCTAATACCTTCTTCTTGCAATCGATAGTGGCATAGTTGCATTAGTTTGTGATCGTTTGTATGGGAATATATTTGCAATTGTGGTGCGAGGGGTTCCTTTCGAGTGTCAGTGCGATGGAAGCGATACAAACTGATTAAAATGGCTTTAGTATTTTCATATTTCAACCATAAAGATGGCTTTAAAACAGAGTGAGGAAGAAGCGAGCATGGTTGCAGTTTGTATTTGAATAACAACGCCAACGGTCTGGCCACCAAATTATGCAATTCAAAACGTGTGGTTCACAGCGTCAATACTAAGAATTCCGCTTTGATGAGAAGTAGACGAAGTGGATTATACTAGTTCCCCTGTAACTCCAAAGATGTGATATACGTCGAAAGGAATAAGGTGAGTTTTATAATAATGCGAGAATTATAATGTAGTGATTGTTGTCTGCGATTGTCATATAATAGGACCGCTTTAACATTGATGCGGACGCCGGAGGCTAATACTCTACATTGTGAATTTACAGTCTCAGTTATAAAGAAAACTTGCGCGCGTTTTCATATACAAGCAGCTTTGTCTGATTATTTTATCTTGCGTTTACTGTTTTCATTTCAATTATAAGGTCTTGTATTTTAGAACCCGAGTTGGAAAATAGCCCAACCTCGACTATATCATAATTATCATATAGGATTAGAGGATTTTGTGCATTCTATTCAAAATTTCAAATTACGCACAACAACACAGACAACAATATTTCATTCATTAAATTTCAATGGCAAACTGTGATGTTTTTATATTGATTACTAAACGGTGGAATTTCTTTTATTAACACTGTGTGTATAAAGATGATATACAGTATACACTAATACTAACTTATACAGCTGGACCTGGCTCCCATTGGTCATTGATAGGTAAAATTACTTAGCATATAAAGATCCCCTTGGCAAATAAAATCAAAATTGTCTGGCATTAGACAGAATAAAACAATAAAATAAGGTACTGTATATTTGGAAACATTGCAGGTTAATGGTTAAAAATCGAAACTAAAATTAGAGTTGCCATACTCAGGGGGAGTCCTGAGTATTAATATTTCAGAGCAAAAATATTGATTATTATATAGTGTTCACATTATAAAATTGCCAAACATAATTCTAGTTCTGAATTCTAGTTCTAGCACTATAATGAAGTAATTTTTCTTTTTTGAAATGGTGATGTATTGACATGATTTTTCAATGGCAAAATGCAATTGGACTTCACCAGTGATTAATTATATAGTTAAAGCTAGGGCACTTGCTCAATGGCTTCCCTGTTAGATACTGTACTCATTTTGAAGTAGATTAATTGCTACATGTAGTGTTAAGGTGAGATGGCACATCTCTTAACCGTCCTGGACAAATGGCACATTTGACACAGGTAACACTATAATGAAGTAATTTTTCTTTTTTGAAATGGTGATATATCGACATGATTTTTCAATGGCAAAATGGAATTGGACTTCACCAGTGATTAATTATATAGTTAAAGAACACTTGCTCAATGGCTTCCCTGTTAGATACTGTACTCATTTTGAAGTAGATTAATTGCTACATGTAGTGTTAAGGTGAGATGGCACATCTCTTAACCGTCCTGGACAAATGGCACATTTGACACAGGTAACACTATAATGAAGTAATTTTTCTTTTTTGAAATGGTGATATATCGACATGATTTTTCAATGGCAAAATGCAATTGGACTTCACCAGTGATTAATTATGTAGTTAAAGGGCACTTGCTCGATGGCTTCCCTGTTAGATACTGTATTCCTTTCAAAGTAGATTAATTGCTACATGTAGTGTTAAGGTGAGATGGCACATTTCTTAACCGTCTTGGACAAATGGCTCATTTGACACAGGTAACACTGTAATGAAGTAATTTTTCTTTTTTGAAATGGCGATGTATCGTTATGATTTTTCAATGGCAAAATGCAATTGGACTTCACCAGTGATTAATTATATAGTTAAAGGGCACTTGCTCAATGGCTTCCCTGATAGATACTGTACTCATTTTGAAGTAGATTAATTGCTACATGTAGTGTTAAGGCGAGATGGCACATCTCTTAACCGTCCTGGACAAATGACACATTTGACACAGGTAGCACTATAATGAAGTAATTTTTCTTTTTTGAAATGGTGATGTATCGACATGAATTTTCAATGGCAAAATGCAATTGGACTTCACCAGTGATTAATTATATGGTTAAAGAACACTTGCTCAATGGCTTCCCTGTTAGATACTGTACTCATTTTGAAGTAGATTAATTGCTACATGTAGTGTTAAGGTGAGATGGCACATCTCTTAACCGTCCTGGACAAATGGCACATTTGACACAGGTAACACTATAATGAAGTATTTTTTCTTTTTTGAAATGGTGATATATCGACATGATTTTTCAATGGCAAAATGCAATTGGACTTCACCAGTGATTAATTATATA